ATGCGGGACTCGATACCAGGACCCTGGGATCATGACCTGAGCCGAAGGTAGACGCTTAACCATCTGAGCCACCCAGGCGCCCCAGGGTTGTTGTTTTTTTTTAAAGATTTTATTTATTTATTTAACAGAGAGAGAGAGAGAGCCCAAGCAGGGGGAGCGGCAGGCAGAGAGAGAGGGAGAAGCAGGCTTCCCTCTGAGCAGGGAGCCCAACGTGGGGCTCAATCCCAGGACCCTGGGATCATGACCTGAGCCAAAGGCAGACACTTAACAGACAGAGCCACCCAGGAGCCCCTGAATTTTAAGTATCTTTGAGACTTCAAGTAGTCCGCTGGATTTAGAGATTTGAGTCTCAGAAGAGAGGTGAGGGCTGGACATATAATTTTCAGGGTAATTAGCATATAGGACATAACCGATGTCACGGGTGTGAATGAGACTGTTATCAGTTGAGAATACAGAGTGGAAAGGAAAGACAGCCTAGGCTGGACTCAGGAGGAACTCCAATTTTAAATGACCAGGCAAATTCTCTTGATTTATATTCCTTTCAGTGCACCAAAAGTTCAAATGACTCTTGTGGATTATGACATCTTGCTGGTAGTAAACCATATCAAATTATCTTCGGATAACTCTGCCTATTAATATTTTCATCAATAGGTATCTATCATCTTTGGAAATTCTGTAAAGGGAATCCACACATCCTGCAGAGCTTTAGACATTATTTTTCAAATTGTAGGTCACGACTGAGTGGGTCATGAAATCAATTTAGTGGGTCCTGATTACTATTATTTTTTAAAGATTTTATTTCTTTATTTTGGGGGAGGGGAGAGGGAGAGTCTTAAGCAGACTCTATGCTGAGTGCAGAGCCTAACATGGGCTTGATCCCACAACCCTGAGATCATGACATGAGCCAAAACCAAGAGTTGGTGGCTTAACTAACTGTGCCACCCAGGTGCCCCCTGATTAGTATTTTTATTTTTTTATTTGAAAATTTTTTTTAATTTGTATTTTTAATTTTTAAATTTCTATTCTTTTTTTTTTTTTTAAGGTTTTATTTATTTACCTGAGAGCGTGAGAGCACAACCAGGGGGAGCAGCAGAGGGAGAGGGAGCAGCAGACTCCCCACTGAGCAGGGAGCCTAATGTGCGGCTTGATCTCAGGACCCTGAGATCATGACCTGAGCTGAAAGTAGCCGCTTAACCAACTGAGCCACCCAGGCGCCCCTATTTGTATTTTTTAAAGATTTACTTATTTAAGAGAGAGGGAGAAAGTGAGAGAGAGGGAGGGAGGAGAGAGAGCACGCAAGGGTGGGGTGGAGGGAGAGGGACAAAATGCCAAGCAGACTCCCCACCAAACGCAGAGCCCCACACAGGGCTGGATCCCAGGACCCTGAGATCACCATCTGAGCCAAAATCAAGAGTCGGACGCTTAACCAACTGAGGCACCCAGGCACCCCTAATTAGTATTTTTAAAATGAGATAGAGGAAAATATCGAAGTACATCATATGCAGTAAGCATCTACACTCTCTTCCATGGTGAAACTTATCCAGTCTGTGACTTGAAATCCCATGTATGACTCCCAAATTTCTATATCTAGCCCAGTGCTCTCTCCTAAATGCCATGCTCATTTAGAAAGCTCCACTTGGCTGTCTACTAGACATCTCAAACTGAACGATGAACCCCTGATCATCTTTCCCAAAACAGCTCCATCTGCCGCCCCCCCCAGATGATGGTAATTTCATTCTTCTTAGGCCTGTATCCCCAGAGCCACTTTTTACTTCTCTCATTCTCTAACACAGCACATCTCATCTTTCAGGGAATGCTGTTAAGTCTACCTTCAGAATCTAGCCACTTCTCATCATCCTTACCACTACCACCCTGGTCCAAATTATCATCACCTCATCTCTCACCTGGATTAATGCAAGAGCCTCCCAACAGGTTTCTCTAATTACACCCTTTCTTCTATAGCCTATTCTCAACACTGTAGTCAGAGTGATCTCTTGAAACAGGAGTCAGCAAACTTTTCCTGTGGAAAGTCAGAGAGTAAATATTCAGGTTTTTTGGGCCAAGAGGAAAATCAAGGCTATTACAGAGGTATTTCTATAAGAGAAGACAAATTTCTATAAAATGTTTGATAAAATTAAAAAATAATTGAGTCTATTTTTTGTAATACAGATCTACTTTTAAAAAGTATTTGAGAGAGAAAGAGTGAGACAGAGAGAGAGAGAGTGTGCACACGCAAGAGGGGGGAGTGGCAGAGGGAGAAGTAGACTCCCCAGGGAGCAGGACGTGGGGCTTGATCCCAGGACTCCAGGATCATGACCTGAGCCAAAGGCAGACGCTTAACTGACTGAGCCACCCAGGTGCCCCACAGGTCTACTTAAAAAAAATTTTTTTTTAGCAATTTCTATCCCCACCTTGGGGCTCGAACTCATGACCCTGAGATTAAGAGTCACATGTTCCTCTGACTGAGCAGGCCAGGTGCCCCATGTAATACAGGTCTACTAATGAGAATGAAATTTTTTTTAAATTTTAATTTTATTTTAAGATTTATTTATTTATTTGGGGGGGCAGAGGGAGAGGAAGAGAATCTCAAACAGACTGCCCACCAAGCACAGAGTTCCACATGGGGCTCAATCCCAGGACCCTGAGATCATGACCTGAGCTGAACCCAAGAGTCAGACGCTTAACTGATTGAGCCACCCGTCTTTATTTTTTTAATGGATTTTGCTTAATTGGGGTTCAAAGCAAGTGTTCCCTATCATCAAATCAACTAAACGCTTACCTGTAAAAACCATTCTTAGCTGATGGCCATATAAAAACAGGCAGCAAGATGGATTTACACTGCAGCTGTAGTTTGCTGACCTCTGCTTTAAAATATTATCAGATTGTACCATTCTCTCAAAACCCTGTGAATTAGTTTTCTTCTGTTGTGTAACCAATACCACAACTTCAGCAGCTTAAATACCCATTTATTATCCTCACAGTCTATAGATCAGAAGTGCAGGTGAGCTTGGCTGAGTTCTCTTGAGAAGGGTCTCACAAGGCTGAAATCAAGGTGACCTCTTATATGGAAGACCTGGGAAAGAATCCACTTCTAAGGTCATTCAGGTTTTTGGTAGAAGCCAGTTCCTTACAGTTGTAGGCCTGACATCCTTAGTTCCTTGCTGGCTATTAGCCAGGAACTACTCTTAGCTTATAGAGGCTTCCTGCATTCCTTATGTGGTCCCCCTCCATCTTCAAAGTCAACACAAGCACATTCACATCTCATGGTTTGAATCTCTTTGAAGTTCCTTTATGCTACCAGCTGGAAAAAAATGCTCTGCTTTTAAAGATGTCACCTGACTAGGCTAGGACCACTCAGATAATTGTATCTCAAGGTCAACTTCTGGTGGGGGGGCATCAGTTTTTGAAGTCGGCCTACCCCACCCTGCAATAATTTCCTACTCAGAGTCAAAAGACAAGGCACTTAGGGCCAACATGATTTGTGCCACCTGCTATCCCCCAATCCCCATGCCTCTCTGATGTTATTTCCTGCTCTTCTCCCTTTGGCTTATTCTGTTCACTCACACTAGCTTTCTTGCTATTGCTTGAACATGCCAGACACACTCCCAACCTGGGATCTCTGTCTGGAGTACTCTTCTCTCAAATATCTGATTTGTTAGCTTCTGTATCTCCAAGACTTGGCTCAACTTCCACCTTTTTTTTTTTTTTTTAAGAGAGAGAGAGAGAGCGTGTGCACCCAAGTGTGGAGGGCCAGAAGGAGAACAAGAGAATCTTAAGCAGGCTCCATGCTCAGCATGGAGACTGACGGGGGGCTTGATCTCACAACCCTGAGATCATGACCTGAGCTGAAATCAAGAGTTGGATACTTAACTGACTGAGCCACCCAGGTGCCCCTCAACTTCCATCTTTTCAATGAGACCACATCTGATCACATTATTTAATACTACAATCTGCACTCTCACTCCTGGCACTGCCTATTTCCCTTACCCTGTTCTATTTTAATTTTTTTTCTATTATACTCAGCACCTTTAAATACTATATACTTTGCTTATTTATGTTTATTGTCTGTCTCTCCTTGCCAGAATTAAGCTCCTCAAGGGTAAGGATCTGTGTCTATTTTTTATTTATTTTTAAAGATTTTATTTATTTATTTGACACAGAGAGAGAGCACAAGCAGGGGGAGCAGCAGGCAGGAGGAGAGGGAGAAGCAGCCTCTCCGCTGAGCAGGGAGCCCGATGATATGGGGCTTGATCCCAGGACCCTGTGATCATGACTGGAGGAGCCGAAGGCAGCTGCTTAACCAACTAAGCCACCCAGGTGCCCCTGTGTCTATTTTTTATTCACTAATGTATTTTTCTTTCTTTTTTTTTTTTTAAAGTAAGCTCTACTGCCCAATGTGGGGCTTGAACTCATGGCCCTAAGACCAAGATTCACATGCTCTACTGACTGACCCAGCCAGGCGCCCCTCACTAATGTATTTTTTGTGCTCTAAGCATCTAGCACAGTGGCTGGCACCAATAAAAATTCACTGGATGTTTTGGGAAACTCTTGTTTCAACTTTCTATATATGTATGTACATACTAGGTTGTGATAATAAAACAGTATTTTTACTGAGAATAGTCAAGAGAGTTTGAAAAATACTGGGGTAAGACTATATGACTTAAGTCCTTTCTCAATTTTAGCACTTACAAATTTCTATGTGTAGCTAGTAAATGTCCACTACATCTTTTGGGAGATGGCAAAGTTCACAGTCGAGTTTCTGTAGGAAGGCATTGAATACTGAAACATAACACTGACACCAAAAAAGCCATTAGCATCCCTGCCTGTTCTATAATAGTAGGTTAGGAAAACCTGGAAATAGCAAGAACTGCTGAATGCCCCAAAATATAAAAATCTGAACTTAATCCTTCCATGAAAAGGAGACAGAACTTGAGACCAAATGACAAAACAGAACATTTCTTAGATCAAGATTTCTTAGGTTAAAGCTTTCACACACTTACTGAAGCAGCGAAGAGGAGTGAAGAAAGATATCCCTTAAAGTGTCTGCCGTAGAAATTGTGTCCTGAATGGACTTTGGGAGCAAAGACCACTTCTGAAATATGTATGATTTCCACTCATCCACAGGCAGATCCATTCTACTTTAGGTCTATAAAATGAATAATAAGGAATTCAGATTTCTACAAATGCACAATTCTAGAAAAAAATAAAGATTTCACTCAAGCAAATGTGAAGCAACAAAATCAATTCTTGTGGTCTTTTTCTGTGATTTACATGCTGAGGATCTATTTTCTCTCACACCTATTCACTGAACATTGTTTTATTCAGAAATATTTACTGAAGGCCTACTTTGTTCCACACACCAGGCTTGCCTCTTAGACCTCCATCTTCCCAAGCTCAAGTCAGAAACCTGAGACATCCCAGATTTTTCTCTCTCCCTAGCTACTATTAAATTAACAAATGTTTCTATCTCTCACACAGTTCAATCCCCAGATCAATCCCCAGATCATTCCTTTAGTTCAAGTCCTCACCATCTCTCGCCTGGCATCCTTTCCAGGATAACTAGTCTCCATGTCCTCAGTTCCCTACCCTACCCCCTAAATTCAATTCATCCTCCACACTGAAACAGATGTCAGTCCTCTGCCTTAATCAATGCTCCTCCAAGCATTTAGGGAAGCCCAGTACAAATTTGACCCCCGGGCTCATTTTCTAATGCCCAAGTCTCACCTCTTCCTTTGTACCCTACTATTCTGAGCTACTTAAAGCTATCCCCAGCTTGCCTGGCTATTCACCTCTCTAGTTTTTGCATAGGTTATGCATTCTTCCGGGAGCATCCCTACCCTCAGAGTCCACCTCGCAAATCTGCACACACCCTTCAAGACCAAGTTCAAATGGCACCTCCTCCAGGAAGCCTTCCCTGATTTTCCATCTGTGCGTGCAGACACACTTTGCGTCTCTCCTGAGGCCCATATTATGTCTACCTGGAGTTAGGGCTACTCACTGCGGTAACTCCCTCGACAGACTATGCTCTCCTCTGAGGGCAGGGACCGGATCCTATTTACCTTCGGAAATTCCCCACTGTGCCAAGCTCAGGGTCTAGCAATGGCGGGAGCTCGGCACTCGGGTTGCTGAACGAATCGTTACTGCTTTGCCTACGGTTAGCAGCAGAGCTATCAGGGAACAACTCTAACTCTCTTCTGGGCTCACAGTCGGTCTGCCCGTCAAAGGCCGAGCCAGGTTTTTTCCCCCGAGGACCGTCTCGGAAAGCTTCCGGTACAGGACCTCGCGCCCAGAGAAAGAACCCGCGTCATCCTCGGCGCGCCCCACGGCTCGGGGCCCCGCCCCAGGCGCAGTCGTCGGGTGACTAGGTCCTGAACCCGGGCTCTGGTACGTCACGTGGGCTACCTCGGCCAATGCGGTGGCTGCTCCGCCCCTAAGCCCGCCCCTGTGACTTGCGCATGTCAGAAGACGGGGGTGGTGCCTACAGCTACTTGGCGCAAAAGCTTTGGAGCGCGTGGGGTCCCGTAAGTGAAGCAGAGGCTGCGGAGAAGCCGGAGCGCGCGAGTTGGCGCGGCGCAGTCATGGTGGGCCACCTGAGCGAGGGGGCTATTGCGGTGAGGAGACGCCTGCGGGCAGGCGGGCTGGGGTGGCGGTGGGCCCTGGGGTTGTGGGGGTGGGGAAGGGAGAGAGGAGCTGGAGGCGATGGGGAGAGAACGCGGGAGGGGAAGATAAGGGGGGGGACCGTCGGGTGACTCCCTAAAATTCTCACCCTCTGCTCGAATTTTTACTGTCGTCTTTTAAACATGTCCATGTTTTTTTCTACTTAAGAAAACGAAGCAAAATTAACTTGATCGTCCCCCATCGCCCTCCTGCGGCCACTCCCTATCTCCTCCCCGTCCCCTATGCACTGCCAAACTTCTCGAGTTGTCTGTTTTCAGCTCACCTGCCGTTAACAGACTCCAATCCGTTGTTCCCTCCATCACTATAGAAAGAACCCTCGGCAAGAACCCTGGCAGAAGTTAGCGGTGCTTCCAAGTCGTTAAATCTAACAGACACTTTTCAGTTTTTAACTTAACCAGAATTCTCAGTAGTGTTTGAGAGTTACTTGTTTTGAGCAGTTTTGAGCATTACTTCTTTTTATAACACTCTCTTTTGGCTTCTATGGCTTGGCTTGGCTTTCCTCGTTTTATTTGCCGGTCCCTCATTGTCAGTTTTTGTTTACTCAAGGTTATGTTTTAGGCCCTCTTCTACCAGGACAATCCCATTACCAACTATGTCAGTTGCTCACACATTTTTTTGTCCGGAGCCACCTTTATTCTGAAAGATAAACCTCTGTAATATGTCTGCCTACCTGATACCTCAAAGGCATTTTATATTCAACATGCCCCAAAGCAAATCCGTTATTTTACTAAGTTTGGGCCTCTTGGTGTTCCCTATCTCGATGAATGGCACCATTATCCATTAAGATATGCTAGCCAGAAACTGTGGAATCATTCTTCCTGCAAACTTCCATCACCTTAGATGTTCAGTCCATCACCCAATCTGGTGTTTTACCTCCACACATACCTCTTAAATCCATCTACTTCTCTTCTTCCACTCTGGCACCATTGTTTCTTGCCTGGACTACCGACTTCCACCCAGCATAACCTCCCCTCCCACGCCCACACACCTTCCCATCACTGCATATTCCCACTTGTTTTCTCTTCCTTTCCAGCCTTTTTGTTGTTGTTTTTTTATTTTTTAAATTTTAACTCCAGTATAGTTAACATACAGTGTTCTGTATGGTTAGCGGCAGAGCTATCAGGGTCTAGCAACTGCGGGAGTACAATATAGTGTACAATATAGTGATTCAGCAATTCTGTACATTACTCAGGGCTCATGAAAAGTGTACTCTTTAATCCCCTTCGCCTATTTCCCTCATCCCCCCACCCACCTCTCTCTGGTAACCATCAGTTCTCTATAGTTAAGAGTCCGTTTCTTGGTTTGTCTCTCTCTCCCTTTTTCTCCTTTGCTCATTTGTTTTGTTTCTTAAATTCCACGTATGAATGAAAGCATATGGGATTTGTCTCTCTCTGACTGACTGACTTTGCTTAGCATTATACTCTCTAGCTCCATCCATGTTGTTACAAATGGCAAGATTTCATTCTTTGTTATGGCTGAATAATATTCTATCGTATATATGTAACATATCTTCGTTATCCATTCATCTACCAGTGGACACTTGGGCTGCTTCCATAATTTGGCTATTGTAAATAATGCTGCAACAAACATGGGGTGCATGTATCCTTTTGAATTAGTGTTTTCATATTTTTGGGAAACTACCCAATAGTGCAATTAATGGATCCTAAGGTAGTTCTATTTTTAACTTTTTGAGGAGCCTCCATACTGTTTTTGCACCTGTTTGCATTCCCACCAACAGTGCACGAGGGTTCCTTTTTCACATCATCCTTGCCAACACTTGTTTCTTGTGTTGTTGATTTTAGCCATTCTGATAGGTGTAAAGTGATATCTCATTGTAGTTTTGATATGCATTTCCCTGATGATTCATGTTGAACATTTTTGCATGTGTGTTGGCCATCTGTATGTCTTCTTTGGAGAAATGTCTGTTAATGTGTTCTGTCCATTTTTTTTTTTTTTTAAGATTTTATTTATTTATTTTGAGAGAGCGAGAATGAGAGAGAACACATGAGAGGGGATAGGGTCAGAGGGCAAAGCAGACTCCCTGCCGAGCAGGGAGCCCGATGCGGGACTCGATCCAGGGACTCCAGGATCATGACCTGAGCCGAAGGCAGTCGCTTAACCAACTGAGCCACCCAGGCGCCCTGTTCTGTCCATTTTTTAATTGGGTTATTTGTGTTTTGGGTGTTGAGTTGTAGCAGTTCTTTATATATTTTGGATACTAAGCCTTTATCAGATCTGTCATTTTCAAATATCTTCTCCCATTCACTAGATTGTCTTTTGGTTTTGTTGACTGTTTACTTTGCTATGCAAGAGCTTTTTATTTTGATGTGGTCCCAGGAGTTTATTTTTGCTTTTATTTCCCCTGTCTCGGGAGACCTATCCAGAAAGATGTTGCTATGGCTGATGTCAGAGAAATTACTGCCTCTGCTGTCTTCTAGGATTCTTATGGTTCAGGTCTCACATTTAGATCTTTAATTCATTTTGAGTTTGTGTTTGTGTATGGTGTAAGGAAGTGGTCCAGTTTCATTCTTTTGCATGTTGCTGTTCAGTTTTTCCAAAACCATTTGTTGAAGACTGTCTTTTTCCCATTGTATATTCTTTTCCTCCTTCATTGAAGATTAACTGACCATATAATTGTGGGTTTATTTCTGGGTTTTCTGTTTTGTTTCATTGATTTGTGTGTCTATTTTTGTGCCAGTACCATACTGTTTTGATGACTATGGCTTTGTAATATAACTTGAAGTCTGGAATTGTGATGCCTCTGGTTTTTCTTTTTCAAGATTGCTTTAGCTATTTGAGGTCTTTTGTGGTTCCTTGCAAATTTTAGGATTATTCTAGTTCTGTGAAAAATGTTATTGGCATTTTGATAGGGATTGCATTAAATGTGTAGATTGCTTTGGGTAGTATAGACATTTTAACAATATTTATTCCTCTAACCCACGAGCATGGAATGTCTTTCCATTTCTTTGTGTCTTTTTTCTTTTTTTTTAATTTAAATTCCTGGTATATTCCATACTCTTGCACATTCTTTTCCCATCTCCCTGTGTAGTTCTTCACTCTCCCCTCCCTGGCTAACAATCTTCAAATTTCAGCTCAGTTAGTTCTTCAGAGAAGCCTTCCTTGACTTACTAGCCTAATTCCCTTTATTTTGAGACCCTAATTCCTGCTTGTTCACTTATTAGCTGTGTGACTTTGGGCAAGATACTAAACTTTGCCTTTTCTCTTCTGTAAAATGAGGGTAATGATACCTGGTACCTATTGCCTAGGGTTAGTGGGGAATTAGGTGAGCTATTACATTTAAAGTGCTTAGTCCATGCCTGATACACAGTAAATGCTCAGTATATGTTATCTCTTATTAATAATCACAGATGTAATTTTATACTTATTTACTTTTTATTTGACTAATATTAGTTACTTTCTGTCTTCCCCACTGGATGTAGATTCTTTGAGGCCTGAAATTACATCTTTTTTTGCTCAAAATAGTCTCCTAAATATCTGGAGCAGTGCTGGCAAGTTTTAGGTATCCAGTAAATGTTTGCTAGTTGCATTTGAGGCAGTGAAAAGAAAGGGACAGAGATGAATGGGGAAGAACAGTTGGCAGAGTGGAGTGACTATTTGAATAAATTAGGAACAATTAAACCTGAGAAGTGATTGAAAATTGTAGTTCTCATTTACTTATAGCTGCTACCTTGTGCTTAAAAAAAAAAAAAAAAAAGATTTATTGGGATGCTTGGGCGGCTTAGTGGGTTGAGTGTCTACCTTTGGCTCAGGTCATGATCCTGAGGTTCAGGCATCAAGGCCCACATCAGGCTCCTTGCTCAGTGGGAAGCCTGCTTCTCCCTCTGCCTGCTGCTTCCCCTGCTTGTGCTCTCTGTCTCTGATGAATAAAGAAATAAAATCTTAAAAAAAAGAAAAGTTAAGAGAGAGAGAGCAAGAGCGTGCGACTAAGCCACCCAGGCGCCCCACCTTATGCCTTTAAGACAAATTAAGAATTGTTCTTCACTTTTATTTATTTATATTTATTTTTATTATTTTTTTGTTCTTCACTTTTAGAAAGAATGATTATGGTGTTAATAATTTGATTGCTTGGTTTTTGCTATATTCAAAACTTTGGAAACATATTTCCAGGGTTAGGTCAAGTATTAAGTTTTATTCATAAATGACAAAGAAAATTTTTGTGTTTGTGGTGACAGTGTGGAGAACCTTTGCCAACTCTGATTATCATCAGCTAAAGCAAGTAGTATCATTTTAGTTCAAAAGACACAGGCCCAAAGGGTAAGCAACTAACACAAATAGTAGAGGCATTTGGGGCAAGAGCTAATATCATAAAAGAGATTATGCATGGAAGTATTGTGGTAAATCGAATAAATAGCATTTGTATCTTAATTTATTGGGTAATATAAAGAAAAGGGAAAGGAACTAATATTTTTGCCTTTTCCAATGTGCCAGATACTTTATCTATAATAGTCAGTACTTACAGTAATCCTGTAAGGTAGATTTTCATAATTACCTGCATCTCACAGATGAAGAAATTAAAGTGCAGAGAAGTTAAATAATTTGTCAGTGAGGTGAAGATTTGAATGCATGTGCCCTTGACTATTACATTCTGTTGCTTTGTATTTCTTTAATTGAAGTATAATTGACATACAGTATTCTATTAGTTT